AAACGAGCTGGACATCCACTACCATTAAGTGCTTATTTATTGAAACCGATACAAAGGATTACCAAATATCAACTTTTGCTAAAAGTAATCAAATTTAGTTTTCATTGCAAAAAAGAAAAAAAATTTTTTTTAATATTAATTTAATTTAAAGAAATATCACTTATTCATTTTGACAATATAACTATTGATAACCAGGTAATTAATTTTCTATTAAAATTTTTGCAAGATTATTTGAAATTATCTCTTCAACTTTTCTTCCTTTTACTTTCTTGATTTCAATGCTATTGAATATTATCAATTGGTCATAATTATAAATTTACATATATTTTCATTTTGCAGGAAGTACATCGTCATTGCACTGATCAGGTTAAGCCTCATGTTGACGAAGCTTTATCCTCAATGTTAGATCTGTTGGCTCAACTTAATACAGCCATGCATCAACTCCATATTGCCGGATTTGTGGTCATTATTATTATTTATCTTTTTTTTTGTTGTTTTACTGTTATAATAATGAAAATTTATATTTTTAAAAGAGAAATATAACTAAATTAAAATATGCAAATCAATGAATGAATTTTTGTTTTAGGGTGATCTTAATCAAATAGGTCCATTAAGACTTCAAAATGAATGTGACATTTATACATTCAAAAAAAGGACACGTCGTCTCAATAAAGCTCAACGTCGACATCTGTTCCTCTTTGATGGTGGCTTATTATTCTGTAAAAAACGTCCCCAATCATTACCGTATGCTTCGGAATATTATGAGCATAAATTATCCATACCAGTGAGTTAATGATTATCGGTTTAATTTTCAGTATTTGCGATTAATTTAATTAGAAATTTTTCATAATTTCAACTTTTTTAGAAATGTTTTTTTAGCTTCTAAAAAAATTTTTTTTTTACATTAATTTCAGACATGTAGTCTTGGCTTCTCAGAAACATCAAAAACATCATCTGCACGTTTTGAAGTTTGGGATGAAACGAAAAGTGAAGCATTTGTTGTGCAGCC